GGGAGTTCTTGGGAATTCAGAATTTTGGACAAAAGTTCCCTCATTTCCTGGAAATGCCAACGATCCCTCGGTATCATTTACTTTTAAAATCTCCGTGTAACCTTTAATATCAATAATAACTGCACAGGCCTGCTCTACTCTACAGTCGGAATTTGAACTCCCAGCCTCCGGCTCCTCAGCCCAATACCTAACTCACTGAGCTATGCAGGCCATGAGCTGGTTTTTATTTTGGGATAGGAGGTGAGTGCAGGCGGCTTTGGCAAGTGCCTGGAGGAGCCTGAAGATCTAGACCCATGTCAATCCGGCTTCAGACCTGCTTAAGGAATGGAGACGGCTTTGGTTGCCTTGGTGGATGACCCAACACCAGGAACTGGACAGGGGAAGTGTGTCCCCTGGTTCCGCTGGAGCTCTTCGCGGCTTTTTATCCTATCACCCAAGGTATCTTAGCTGTTCATGGCTTTTTATCCTATCACCCAAGGTATCTTTCTGGGCAACCCCCCTTGGGGCGGGAGTTGGTTTTGACTCCTAAAGTCCTAAGAGCCTTGGGTCCAAGCTCCTTGTAAGATGAGAGATCCCTGGACAAGCCTGCCTGGGTTTCCAGGCGGTCAGGAGAGAGGCCTTTCTCTTGCTCCCACCAGAGGGCCTTTCTCTGTGGCTGCTCAAAAGCCGCGGGATTCTCTCCCACTGGAGGTCAGGCTGGTTTCCTCTTTGCTGTCCTTCTGCAGGCAGCCAAAGACGTCTCTCCTCAGGCAGACTTTTTCTCAGTGACTGCCTGCCGAAGAGCTGGGCTAGTGTTGTCGCTGTTGTCCTGCTTGTTTTGTTTTGTCCTGTATTTTAGTTTGCTTGGTTCCTCTTCCCTTCCAGTTTTTGTGTTGTCTGTTTTAAATATGGTAAGTCACCTTGGGTCTTCTTGAGGAGAAAGGCAAAGTATGTAGGCATGTATGTACAACAACAAGGAAGAGGAGGAAAAGGAGGAGGAGGTACCATTGAAAAGGGGATTGAAAATAAAACTGCCAACATCATAATGCCCTTATACAAAACACAGGTAAGGCTGCACCTGGAGTATTGCGTACAGTTCTGGTCGCCACACCTCAAAAAAAGACATAGTGGAACTGGAAAAGGTGCAGAAGAGAGGCATTAAAATGACGCCTGGGCCGGGGCACCTCCCTTATGAGGAAAGGCTACAGTGTTTGGGGCTCTTTAGTCTAGAGCAGAGGTCCCCAACCCCAGGTCTGCAACCCGGTGCCAGTCCGTGGCCTGAGCCAGACCGGGCTGTGGAGATAGACCTCCCCCCCACGCACTGCCCCCCACAGCCCGTTTGCGTATGCCCATGAGCATGAGTGTGCTCGCATGAGCACTGCACGCCCTTTGTGCATGTGCACAAGTGTGCATGCACCCATACGAGCACCCCGCTCCTTTGTGCATGCGCACACCTGTGCGAGAGAGTACATATGCACGAGCACAGGGGGTGCCCCGCCTTCCCCAGGGGGTCCACAGGGCTAAAAAGGTTGGGGACCACTGGTCTAGAGAAAAGGCACCTGAGAGGGGAACTGACTGAGACATATAAAAGTATGCAGGGGATGGATAAAATGGATAGAGCGAAGCTCTTTTCCCTCTCATGCAATACCAGAAACAGAGAGGAGACATCCACTCAAATTGAGTGTTGGGAGAGTGGTAACAGACAAAAGAAAATATTTCTTTACTCAGCATGTTGTTAGTCTGTGGAACTCCTTCCCACAGCATGTTGTGATGGCATCTGGGCTAGATGCCTTTAAAAGGGGATTGGGCAGATTCCTGGAGGAAAAGTCAATTTCAGGTTACAAGTCATGATGGGGACATATAATCCCCAGGCTTCAAAGGAAGGTACTTCCAAATGCCAGATGCAGGGGAGGGGGTCTCAGGAGATGGGTCTCTAGTTGTCTTGTGTGCTGCCAGAGGCATCTGGTGGGGCCGCTGTGAGATACAGGAAGATCGATTAGATGGGCCTTTGGCCTCATCCAGCAGGGCTCTTCTTATGCTCTTATGAGGAGGAGGAGGAGGAAGAAGAAGAATAAGAATGATTGCTCAATGACAAGGTCTGCCTAAATCTCATCTCTGGAACACTAATGGATTTTGGCTTCTAATGATGGGCTACCTGCAACGTACAGTTTAGTTCTGTGATCAAGCAGTACTCCTCCCCTGCTGCCAAGACATCCACCAGAGTCATCCACAGGGACCAGGAGTGGTGGCCATATAGGTCTGTTCTCTTATTTCAGCCCATTTCTCCACAGCCCAACCCTCTCCCTCGCCCCCACTGCACTTACAGCCTCCAGCCCAAGTAGCACCAGGAGGGGGACCGTGGTGGCACCGCCACGGAGCCACTCAGAGAGGGAGACGGTGCCGCTGCCATCGTAGTCAATCTCTCGCATCATCTCTTGCAGGATCTGGGGTGCAAAGGAAGTGTAGAGAAGAGGATATTAGAAGGGAGCCGTATCTGTGCTTGCTGTATTCCACTGGAGCCAAGCTAGGGGTCCTCACCATGCCCTCTTCCAGGACCATTTCAGAAGGACAAGGTGGGCTCTCCACAATCTGTGTCAAAGGACCCATAATTCATTGCAGCCTGTGGCAGGACCCATACGTCCTCCACATCCTCTGCCATTCTCCAGCAGAAAAAAAATCTGAAATTGCTGAACTCTGATGACAGCAAACATTTTATGAAAGGGATGTTGGCAGTGGGAGGGGCATGAGAAAAGTAATGAGGGCTGCCGGAGGGCAATCCTACCAACCAAACATTTCCTTTATATGTAGAAACACTGTCGTCTACTACCAATGCCGTCCTTTCTGACTAATGTCACATCATTCTACATAAACACACACAATTCTGGTTCCTTTTCCCCCGTCTCAACTATCAACAACAATAACACAGACTCCCCCTCTTGTTACTCTAATTGAGACTCCACTCTTCAAACTCCTCCACAACGTTCTGTAGGTTGTGATAGGCTGAGACAAGGAGAAGGTTGGTACCAATGCTGTCTGTCACGCACCCATATTCCAGAGCCAGCAGATCCAACCCAGGCATTATACTTGTTTTTCTGAAGGAGACAGTGGTGGTGAAATGTGGCTGGTCAAAAACTGACCTCCATATTCTGCACTTACTGGCTTAAGTTCAGTGACATCCCATTCCAGATATTCAGCCACACGCATCATCTGTGTGATTATGCGATCCACCTCCTATCAAAAGAACACAGTTTGCACACAATGTTATAAGTGAATGCGGTGCTTACAGGAAAGACCCAGGCATGGCAGCATCTAAGAGACAAATTTAAGAACCAGAACCTCAAGGTGACAACATGTGCCCTCTCATCACACAGTAGGGAGAGATGAAAGACAGCAAGCTTGCTTTGTATGGGATGATTGTTCTGATAGGAAACATACATGCTCCACCTTCTTGTGAAGTACAGGAGCCCTGCCGGGGGAAAAAGTGAGCACCCTACATAGCAAACTAGAGCAGTATATACAGGATGGATCTGACAGGCCTCCTATGCTCAATCCAACCGTTGGATTGGGACAGAAGAATATCCCACAATGTGATTTGGAAAGTAAATGTACAAGAATTTGCTCTACCTTCTGGATCAGATTTCCCCTTTCAAATACAGCACCACTGTATACAGCCGTGCAAGGGCAGGCAGCAATATATCCATGCCTGGGTCACATGAAAAGGACTTGCTGGGTTTATGGGGAGCAAAATTCACAGGAGTATAAAAACAGTAAAGCCAGTCAACCTGGGGTGCCATCAGTGGCAACAGTAAAGCAGAAAGAAAGATTGAACAGTGGCAGAGATTGTGTAGCCCTCCGAAAGCTGTTGGGACTGTAACTCCTATCTTCCTTGGCTAGCACAGCCAATGGTGAGGGATGAGGGAAGCTGCAGCTCAGCCCATCTACGAGAGGGCCCAAGGTCTGGGCTGGAGCGTCTGTCAAGATGTCCTCCTAGGCAAGCCCCACTCAGGCGTGCACAGAACTAACTTCTCTATGAAAGTTTGTTGTCACTGTCATGGGAAAGTAGGTGGGTCCATCTGTTGTGGAGTTGTGACAAAAATGGGCCAGTTCTTCTACTCAAAATGGGGGGAGGGAGGATCCAATTCCAATTTTACATTTCTGGCTACTTACTGAACTGTCGAGAAGGCCGTTCCCGTCTTTGTCATAGAGCTTGAAGGTGACTGTGGAAGCAGAAAAGATGAGATGTGGCAGCTGCTGGATAAGAGATTGCTAATAGCAAGGGACTCTGCCCTCACCCTCCTGGTCCACAAAGGCCACCTTAGTTGCTCTCCCCTCGTGACTGCAGAGGAGAAGTCTGGTACCTCAGTATTTCTACACATCTTGAAGGTAGATAGACATTTATTCCCCCTTGCCCTGCACCAGTCCCCAAAGAATTAAGATAGTTGCATTCAGAAGAGTCACAGAGACAGCACAGAAGGCCATTGACAAATCTGAAATGTCATTGATGAAATGAGGGCTATGATAAAAGAACTAAGTATGTGCTGAGAGACCACAGATATCTATGGTGTCACAGGAGTGGAAAAAGAATGCAGCTCATGCGGGCAGGTGAGAGAGGCTTGAACATCTTGCCTAGAAAAGTAGAAGCAAAATTAATCAGAGTAATAAATACAACATTTGGGGGGGGGTGGCTCTTGGGATGATAAAACTGTGTGTGTGTGTGTGTGTGTGTGTGTGTGTGTGGTGTGTGGTGTGTGGTGTGTGGTGTGTGCATGTGTGCGTGCACAAGCATGAGAATAAAACAGAGAAGACGGGTTGGTTTGCCAAGCCAGAGATGTCCTCTTACCTAATGACAATACAAGGAGTCTGAAACCATATCTGTCTGGGAGATGCAGAACTGTCCCAAGGACAGTTTTTCCTTCTCAAGACCAAATCTAGCCTCCCACCTTGCCCCACACCACCCAATCAGGTTCGGAACTGGTGTCCTTGGTGGCCTCTTTCACACATGATCCTTGGCAGTACTCACATTCCAGCTTGTCTTCTGGTCTTCCGCCTTCCAGCAGAGAAAAGTAACAAGAGACATCATTGACGCAAACGAAACCACTGGCTGAAAAGCAAAAAGAGAAAGTTTGGAGAGGATCTGTCCATCCTTCTTCTTCCTAGGGCTACTAAATGTTTCAGATGCCAAGGCTAAACTTCAGATAAAAAGATGCTCAGTGCCTGACCATTCTTCCAGAGCTTCTAACTATTTAGTCCACAAACAGACACAGACACACAGACACTCCCACATCCCTTCTAATCTGTGACAGGATAAAAGGAAAGACACGATCAAGTTTTCAATTGAAGTCTCCATGCTGTATGAAGACTGTGTACCTGGCTCTGTTGTGGCCTGTCCTGCTGTCGTCTGGAAGGACATGAAGAGGTGGCGGCAAAGTTCATCCGATATCTCCTCTGCTTCCAAGTAAGTTTTCAAGAAGATCTTGAAGCCCTCAAAGTTTATTGACTGGCAACAACATGAGCAGAGGAACACAAATGAGTGAGCCAAAGAGAAGGAGGATGTGAGTATCCTCTTGGTCATGACACAAAGCTGAGCTGGATGGCCATTTCATCACCCCAGTGCAAGATGTATGGGGTGTGGAGAAGAACAAGGAGAAAGCAACATTCTGTCTCCTTCTGCCTCCAGCTGAATGGGGTCAACAAATAACCTTCCCAACACTTGGTGGCTACTGAGGTATCCTGTAGGATTCATAGATACAGGAAAGGGATGAGTGATCACACATAGGACAATCAGGTAACAACAGTCAAGTAGGGAGGAACACTTTGTGGGTGTGGATGCGCGTGACTGTGGGTGGGTGTGCAGCTTCAGGAAAAGCCACAAAGGAGCTTTGGGTTGCCAGGATATAGTAGAAGAGGCAGAAATGATGACTGTACAAATTAACGGATAGTGCATATGATTTCTCATAATTTTAGCAGAGTGTTTGAAGAAGTCTGCCACTGTTTTTTATTATAAGTCTAAATTTGTACTAGATTATAATATGGTTAGCTAGATTCATAGCTGCTTGGAAAGTCATACTCAAAGAGGGCTCACATTTGTGAAGGGAAAATAGATATTAGTATAACATTTTTATTAGCTTGGTGGTGACTACACTTGGCACAGATAAATTTGAATCAAAACCTAGTGACTATATATAACATAAAGCTCAATGTCGCAACCCCTGTGGTGGGACTTTCTCTTCAATCAGGGAGTCATGTTTTTCTGCTCAGCCAGCAAGGGTGGTTTAAATATTTTCCAGATGGTCTGACATTGCTTCTGTCTGCTTTCCATGCAATGAGACCACCTCCTCTGATGCAAAGGGGTATCCATTCCCTTTAACTGAGTGCCCCTAGTCTTTAACTCAGCACTGGAACACAGTAACACTAGGGCACTAAAGAAAACTAAATTTTTAAAAAATAGAAGTGGGAATTGCCAATAAGCACCTTGTTGCACCTCAAGGCAGCTTCTGCTGTTGGAGCTCTGTGCAAACCAAGCTCTCTGCTTCTGTCCCTGAAGACTCCTGCAAATGGTCATCTGGATGGCTACAATGATTTCACCTGGGGAAACCTCATTTGATAAGCTGCAAACCACAGTGGATCGAACCGTATTTCCCTACTGTGCAGTCACATCCTTACTTATGAAAAAGATTGGAGGGAATCTTTAACAGGTTTGTTAATGATACAGAATTTGGGGTAATAAGCAGCTCCTCAGAAAACAACTGAAAATTCAAGTGACTTTTATAGAACAGAAAACTGAGTAGAAATGAGCACAATAAAATTCAAGAGAAGACCAACTCAAAATCACGGATGAAGGGGTGCTGAAAACAGAAACATCAGATGGAAGACATCCAACTTGGCAGCAATACAAATAAAAATCTCAAGACTATAGTCAATTACAAGCTGAACAGCTGCAAAAAAAGGCTAATGCAATTTAAGTTACATTTATATACAACCCCAATTTCCAAGCCATTAAAAAATAAATTGTTCTGTTTTGCCCTGCGCTATTCAAATCACGTCTACACTACTGCATCGGTTTTGGGAGAATATGCTACTTTTAACAAGGATACAGATAAAGTGAAATGTATTCAGATATGGACAATGAAGATGCTCAGAGATGTGGGAACAAGCTATATAAGAAGAAAGGCTGAAGGAATCCCATCAGCTTGAAAAATAGATGCCAGAGGGGATGTGTGTGTTTGAATAGCAGCCACACCAAGGCTTGTTCTACATAATTCCAGAGAGGAGGACTACTCAACTGAAGTTACAGGAGGGTAAATTTCAGCTGAACATTAGATGAAGATTCTTAACAGTAAAGAGCCATTTTGTAATAGAAGAGATTATTGAGGTCAGGGTGGCAGGGAGACTCTCCTTCCTGAAGGTCTTCTAGAAGGGGCTGGAGAGCCATCTGCTGGGGGAAGCTCTAACTCGGGATTTCTTATACTCGGCAGAAGGCTGGATTCGAAACAATTCTATACAGGAAAAAGAAGGAAGGGAAGGGGTGCACTCAGAAGTGGGAGGAAGGCACATCATTTTGCAAGGTCACTTGGCCTACATACATTTTTTGGAAACATTCGCTTCTTAAAATGAGCCAGTCCCAAAGATGTACAGGAAAAACAAGGCAAAAGATATAAGAGGGGGAGGAAAACAAATGTACTTACATCCCCTTGCAGGTACTGGCACAACGTGCCCTCTCCATAAAATTCCTGGAGCACATCTTGTACCTTCTTGCAGCTGTCTGAATAGCAAAGGGAAAGGAGGAAAAAAACACTGGATGAGAAAATCACACCGTTTGGGAATCCCTGTGCATGTTATTTCCCAGAGCTAAAACACTTAGGGGCAACCAGGAATCAGGACTCCTAAACTCTCTCCTAAGTCTGCCTGAGATGTAGCCACCTGTGAACTGCACCAAAGCACCAGATTTAACAGTTGGATATGGACAATCCAACAAAATCAACATAAACAAACTAACTAACTAACCAAGGGACGTTTATGATAATTGGTGCCCAACTTTTGTATTTGCTCATATACTGTTCGGCATGAGTAAGCCAAGAGTTCAGCCTTAAGGGAGACAGAGAGCCAAAACTTCCTGCTGTTTTCAAGCCCAGTTGATTCTGAAAGGGGAAGACCAAGTAGGATATAAATTGACTTCCTAAAGGATGCCTTGAGTTTACAAGGGCTGAGCAAGGCTGAGGACAGGACATTTTGGAGATTTCTCATTCATAGGGTCACCATAAATCAGAAAACAATCAGTCAATCAGGGATGACTTGACACCAGGTAACAACAACAGCAGATTCCAAGAGAAGCACAAACACGCCCCTGAACGAAGGACACAGAGAGAGATCCCTCTCCTATCAGACTTCCTCATATTTTCCAATGGACACCCAGTAAAGACTTTATACTCCCAGGTGTTTGACCATACTGTCAGGAATGGGAGGGGGACCGATGGGCACACGTTTAAAGAAACAGGATCTCTTGGCTTCCCTATGAGCTTCACCTGGATTTTTGGCACAGGGACTTTGCTTCTTTTTCTCCTGCTTAGTTCAAGGACTAAGTCAACCGAATTCAAATTCTGGTGTGTCGGTATTCCCCAGTGACCTCAGACTTGGAGCAAGAAATCAGTTTCACAACCCAAGCCTCTCCCACCTTAACGCTCCCTCATTCCCACAAGGATCCCCCCCTTGTCCCTCCCTCACCCACCCATCCCGCTAAGGCAGAGAGAGATGCACAAGGAAAAAGAGACTTACAATCGATATACGTCTGCAGCTGGGTGAACTCCTCTGGGCTGAGCGTGGCCCACTCCTTGTTGTCGGACATGGTGCTGTCCTTGCTCCCCTCTATGCCTGCAAACAGAGGAGTCAAGGAGATCTCACTAGGCAGCCGGGAAGAAGCAAGGATGAAGATGAAACAGATGGAGAGGGTGCTCCAGGCAAATCTCTCTCTCTCTCTCTCTCTCTCTCTCTCTCTCTCATACACACAAACACACACACACACATACTCCTGTCTCCTCACACTCTCCTGATCGCTTCGCTGAGGCGGCACATTCTCCACTGGCACAATTGGTTTCCAGAGCAGCAACTGGGAATATCGCCACAGCACATGCAGCCACCGACCAGGCGAGACTCCAGCTGCACAGACTCAGAGAGGGGGAAGTGCCACCGGCAGATTTTTAACTCCTGGAGGAGCGGAGCCGTCCAAACACCTTTGACTCCTGAATGAGGCAGAAATCCTGACTGAAGCAAAGGCTAGAGTCAGGGGACAGCAGGCGTCGGCCAAGTGGGAGAAGACCCAGGGCGGCCCCTTGCTGCTTTTTCGTTCTGATCTGCTCACCTCTTTCGCCTCCTTCTTTAGTTACCTGCACAAGAAGACGAGGAACTCTCAGACCAGCTGTTGCACCTCTTACCCCAGAGTGAACCCATGACCGCAGACTCACTGAGGGCTAGAAACACTACTGCTAGAGCTCCCCAGTGCCAAAGTGATGGGCTGGCGGCAAGACCATCCGAGGCAAATGTTGGAGGAGTTTAAAAAAAAAGATTGGGGAAGCAGCAGCAGTACTTTGGCAATTTACACCGTTCTGCTGCTAATCATGCCAGCGCCTCTAATATTTAATGGAGAAGAATCACCGTACTAAAGATTTTCAGTTTTATTGCCGGAAATGACGCACAGTCTTCAAAGACGCGATCGTGGCAGCTCCAGAGTGCAAAGGTGGGAATTTGCAAGTTGCTGGCAGGGCCAGACTCTTGTTCGCTGCTCATATCCCCAAGGAACATTACAGAAGCAGAGAAATAAGCTGGAAAAGTATCTCTTAAGTTAAGAGCATGGCCTTCTGTGGCCAGGATGAAAAATCCAAGGAGCCTTGCAGGCTGCTGCATCATCAGCATCAGCCAATATGAACTGCTTTGGACAGAATATGTTCAGCAAAACATCTACTGTGTTCCAGACTCTCATCATCAATCACAACTTTCAAAAACTTTAGGTTTAGAAAGAATCTGAGCAGGAAACTGCCCTTCCTGACTACATTACTAGACTGCATTTATCATCCATTAAAAAGGTTTAATCTTAATTTTTTAAAAGCCCATTTATATTCTTGGCATTCCCCAAATCCCATGATAGAAAATACCACAGATCGATACACTGTGTGCAAAAGAAAACATTTTTTAAAGTTTAGTTTCAGTGCAGAAACCTGAGATCAATTAGAAAGATTTAAAAACAGCAATAATTTTATCTAAGCTAGGTATGATTTTGTGCATTCCCATTTTAGGGCAGAGACAAGGTGGTAACTTCACATCTTATTTAATTCTGCCCATAGTAACGCCTTTCATCGGTCTCTCTTACGAGCCTGATAAACCTTTCCTAAATTCTTACCAGTTCTGCTGTACTTTTTACAAAAGAGGCTGACTAGAATTAGATATGCATTTGCCTAAAACAATCTAGATGGGTGTTTGCTTACGCGGTTTCACATTTTCCGCATTACTTTCAAATAGATATGCAATTTGAGAATACAGAATTGCTACTAAACAGTGAGAAGGCAGAGGGATTCAACAGGGCATTGTATCATGAGAAGTATTCCAAAATTATACAAACCATATTAAACATGCCAGTTATGCATCTGCCTTCAATCAGTAACAATAACAATAACCAAAACAACAATGATGAGGTTAGGATGGCATCATCTCTGCAAATAGCGAATTTTATAAAACAGGATAACGAATCTCTCTCCAAGGTGGCAAGAAAACCTTGGGAAGTGAAACAAGAAATCACACAGTCCACATCTTGCTTTTGCCATTAAATCTCCGTGCGTCATTCTCTTTCAAGCACTGTTCTACAATATGGGGATAGGAATATATACTGCTGTGATTGCGTCCATGAAGTGATTTGAACACTTTTAACTTGTTAGGGAAAAGGAGGATGATATTGATGATGATGCCCAAGAAAGAGAATCATATCACTGACTTTCATATCTTAAGTGCAGTGCTTCAGGAAAAGTTCTGCCACATGGCACTTACACCACAGCACGACCTAATGTTTTGCTTGCGCTCTCAAGCAGAACAAGTGATAAAGCTGTGAGAGAGGGATATGCTTACTTTCCACCCTCCATGGATTCCTCCAGTCTACACCACAAGAAAATGGATAAGGAATCAGGACACTTTATCATGAGACATCCACGTACTTCAGGCTTTCACTTTGCAAAACATATTCTATTAAATGCCTACTTTAACAGAACTGCATGTGTGCAAAGAAAAATGCATCTCGAAAATGCACACCAGCTCTCTTTAGTCAATGGATGGAGATGAGCAAATAATGGATCCGGTTTGGAAAAATGCACACATCTTTGTACGTGCTTTTAAAAATTGTGTACAAACATACAAAACCTTTTTTTAAAGGATTGATTTTTGTCTTTTTTATGTCCAAAAAATCAGACACAGAGCTGGGGCACAGAGGAAGTATGCTGAAATGGACGGACACACAACACCCCTCTGCGCTCAAAGAAATGAGAAGGAGGAGACGGCAGTCCAGTGAGAGGGATCAAAATGAATGTGGCCGATGTAGATCCAGGACCATTGTCCATTTACCTCAGCACTGTTTATCCCACTGACTGGCAAACTCTCCACTGCCAGAGATTATTCCTGAGCTCCATGCGCAAAACATGAGCTATCATCTCGCCCCAGTATTCATCAAGAATATGCAACCGATCATTGCTGCCACTGGAGAGAGAAAGAAAATGATCTGGTTCTCAGTGAGCAAGGCACCTTACGGACCAAATTTATAGTTTGCTAATAGTCTGCAGGTCACTCCAGAGGTTAAAAGTAGAGCAAACACATTCTGGCGTCAGATCTTTCTCTTTCACTGCTGCACTTCATCTTTCTGCTCTTTACCGCCCCATCGGCAGGAACCTCCCATAGATATCATTAATTAATGCTCAGAAGGATCCCTGCCTTAATTTGCTGAGCCAAGACACTGCACCAAGAGCTCCATTCTCTCTGCTGCTGAAAACGGAGAGGAAGAGCCTGTATTCAGACCCATTAGTGCTAATAGAACTAATTGCAATTAGCACATCAGAACAGGAAGGGTTCTCTCCCCTTCTCAACAGGCATCTTAAGGCCCACACAAATCCTTACTTTCCATCTTGTAGGCTCCCCACCCTCACCCCCTCTCCTCTTTCTCTGCATTTCCTGTTTACAGCCTTTTTATTGCCTTCTCAGAGCATCTTTTGCTAGCTCCTTTCTAGTCTTTTCAGGCCAGGCCCTGCTTCCTGCTCCCCAACTAATCATCAAGTTCACCAGTCTATGTGGGAGAGAACAGGGCAGGGCTCTGGGAAAGTGAAGGTTGGCCCATGAAGCTTCTTCCTGTACATAGCCACCAATGGAACAAGCATCGCATCCTAAGCAGAACATGTCAGTCCTAGGATGGATTCCCAGCTCCTGGGTGCCCTTCCTCCTGCCATGGCTGAATAGGAGCAGGCCATGTTTTCCTTGTCGGAAACGGCACTAAAGATACCCAGTACGTATTTGTGTAAAAATCTGTTCAGACCCACTGAAAGGAGGCTCTAAGGCAGAGGTGGGCAACTTCAGCAGGCCTGGAGGGGCATTTAGTGCTCCAGGAATGCTCCAAGGGCCACTCCTGGTTGCCCCAAAAAAACGAAGGCAAAAAGGAACCTGGAACCAGCAAGACAGCCCTTTTCCATTTTGAAAAACAGGCCTATTTCGATATTAAACTGGAGGTACTTATTGGGGGTGGGGAGGAAACATGTGACCTGCTTAACATGCGAGATGCCACTCCTTCAGGTCCTAAAAATATTTTTGCTAAAGAAATGGGGAGCTGGGAAAGAGACTGGGTTGCAAACATAACACTGAGAGACCGCTTTGCTCATCCCTGCACTAAAGGTCAACCACCTAGAAGCAACCTGGACTGATTGTGTTGCCACAGGTAGCCTGACTCCCAGCACTGAGAAGGTCAGGCTACCTGTGGCCTCATCAGGTAGTCTACTGACCTCAGGTGAAGCACTAAAATAAGCCACAATACTGCCTTTGATTTAGGAATAGGACCATTTAAGGCTTACATAATCTGGACAAACAAGGATTTCAGCAAAGGAACAAAACCAACTTCAGCCATAAGTGGAATTAGCCAGAGAGGTGACAGCCCAACGGGCCTCTCAGACTGTAAACTCTTCCTTGAGGGAGGGCTACAGTCCCTCCAGCTTGAAGGCGACGGTGATCTAGCCCATTCTGAAAAAAGTGAATTTATCATGATGACGAAAACAACTATTGTCCGGTCACCATCATACCATTCAGGGGAAACTGATTGAGAAGGTGGTGGCCAACCAGTCATAGGCATTCTTGGAGGATACTGGATACTGGATAATTTGAATCTGTTTCAATTGGGATTCAGGCCATGCCACGAGACTGAGTCATTTTTGGTTGCTCTGCTCAATTATCTTCTTTGGGAGACTGATGAGGGAGTTGCCATAACTTGTTGCCATAACACAACGCCCGGAGCCCTTAATCTAGTAGAGGCCCATTAATGAGAAGAACAGCAAAGGGTCTGTCAGAATTCATTTGGAGACTTACTTAAGAGTTAGAGATGCTACAGAGTACAACCAAAACAACACGTTAGGCAGAGACTGCATCAGATGGAAATAAGCACTTTATATTTGCACATGCAACCTATAGCTATGAAGACTGCAGTTGCTGAGAAACAGAGGATAAACAGAAAGCACTACACAGAAGCACACAGTTGGCTGAAAACTTATCACGGGGAAGAACTGGGCCACAGGAGAATGAATCTGGACAATAAAGCTAAATCCACAATGAAGGCATACTTAAGAAGGTGGGCGCAGCAGAGTGGAGTGGAAGGACAAATGAGGACCTAGTCAAAAAGAGCATTCACTGTGTCACCAAAGCACTGAAATAGGAAACACCCATCAGATTGCCACGGCATTCTGGGAAAAGAAATCTAAACTGCCTGAAAAGTAGTGGAACATACCAACCTAGGAAATCATGCTACGGCTTGCCAGTTTAAAAACAGCATAAAAGTTATTTCATCACAGGCCCTTTTTAGGGGCAAAAGTGGAACAATGCATACATTGTTTTGTTACTAACCAATAAATCAAAAAGTACTTCAGAGTAATATGTCAAGCCAGTGACAAAAGCCCTGTTTTGTTTCCCCCTAGGTAAGTTCTACTTGTTAAAAAAGTTTTGCATTTTACACACCACACACACACCTACAGCACTGTGTGAAAGGACTGTAGAAGTTTATTTGCAACCTTGATGATCAGTCATGGGGGGAAACTCCCTCTAAAAACTGTTCTGTCATTTGTGTGTATGGGAAAGGTGTATTGTGTTATTTGTGACAGGCAGTATCCAGCAGGCCCCTGTGACAGTTACACTGGGTATGTGCCAAGTTCTCTTGCTGCAGGCCTGGGTCACACGTCTGAAGGCTGCTTTAAACTCTAGACTCTGGGAGGAAAAAGAGTGGGAGCAAGATGAGAGAGATACAAATGATTTATTCCTCTGCTCGCTCAGGCACTACACCCAGGTCTAAGCACTCCTGTGTGCCCCTGCCAAGTCTTTCCAAGCTCTGACAGAGAAGGAAATAAAACAAAACATAAAAATTTATATTTAAAAACCATCCGATTATTCAATTGTATGAAGTTGTTCGCAAGATGTGCAAAATAACTAAAACACATGTGTATACATGATTTTGATGTCCTACTGCTACAATGTTTGGGAATCCGGAGTAAGGGGTGTTGTTGTTTTTTAGAAAGAACTGCAGGATTTCTGCAGAGCATAAAGCTGTCTAAGGTCCAGGATTTGTGGGAGACACAAGGATTTGGGCTGGCCGAGCACATATGTTCCTGTTTCAAACTTTTCAGCAACAGTTCCTCCGCCTACTTAGGCTACAGGCCTGTTCTACCACAACCTCAACCCACTTGTCAGGACCAAAAACTAAATATAACAATAAATTTCACATGGGCCAGAACAAAGGAAGCGTTTCCTTGGCAACCACAACAACATCTGCCAAGGTTATTGTAGCCACTAAATAACAACAGTTTTGCCGCTGGAAAAATGAACATGGTTCCTACTCAATCCTGCCACACACAAGGCAATCCCCATTGCATCCTGAGAGCGCTATTAATTGGCAGAAGCCTCAGCCAGAGTTTCTTTTTTTAGGCAGTGGTCCCCAAATCCTTTGATGTCAGGGACCAGTTTAGTTGAAGATCATTCTCCCAAGGACTGGGGTGTGTGTGTGTGTGTAATGTGTTATGCAGTAGGTTGTTGGAGGATAGCTTTGAATCGAGCTCATAAAGGAAATGGCAAGCAGGAGTAGGAGGGGAGCTGCAATTGAAGCTCCGCCTCCTGTCAGATCAGCAGCAGCTTAGAACCTATCAGGAGCGCAGGATCCTATGAGATTCTAATGCCACAGACACTGCTGATCTAGCAGCATGCGGGAGGGGGCGGGGAGCAAAGCTCCGCCTCCTGTCAGACCACCAGCAGCATTGACAGGAGAACGTTGACAGGAGGCGGGGCTTCCATCCCCGCTCACCTCCTGCTCACCACTTATCTGTCCCGGTAGCCCAGTTCTTCCAAGGCCATGGACCAGTACTGGTCCGTGGCCTGGGGGTTGGGGACCCCTGTTTTAAGGTGAGGAAGATCCACAGAGGTAACTGATTTGAAAATGTTTCCCTGAGGCTACAGAATCCCTTATGGCCTGTGTGAGTGCTAAGCCAGTAAAAAGGGTTGAGTACCTTGAATGTTTCACTCCCTGTGCATCATAGCTAAAGCTTCCTTCCATAAAGTGATCAGAGCAGCCAGCCTAAGGCTGGTATTACACACACACACCCAAATGTAGAAAGACCTGGAAGTGTATGGGGTACACACAGGTGGAAAACATTTAACAACCCAATGCATGAAATTTGTTAAATAACAGAAAGCACAGACATGAAATAAATAAATAAACTGACCTCACAATGAAGGGATATATACAGGGGTATTCATAAGACGACAACATATCCTTTTATCTTATGTATGTTACCCTGAAAACACCCTTATCTCACCCGATTTTGGAAGCTATGCAGGGTCAGATTTGCTTAATACTTGGATGGTACAGATCCGGAGATTAAAAAAAAAAAGGCTACTACTCAAACCCAGTGAATTATTTCTGTTGTTTCTTCAATTTATTAGTTCAGTCCAGAAGTTCATGCTACCACTACCTCCAGCTCAAGACACGGGTATCTGTCTTACATAAACTGAAGGCAAGAAAGACAGAAAGAAACCACTCAGCTTCTCTGCCTTTTCCCTTTGCGTTGTTACTTTTTACTTTTACCCACCAAGAGCCCAAACACTTCCCTTGTTAGCTTCCCACTTCTGGTGTATTTCTATTTTTTCAATGATTTATTGTTATTAACCATATGCTTTTTTTTTTATCCCCATCAGCTGCAATCCTGTTTGTGTCTGTATAAGGTTTATGTAATTTATTGTAGCTAACTACAGTAATTGATATACTGTACCAGGGCACATCTTAGCTGTCCAATCAAGCACATAACCAGGCACATGACTGAGATGCACCCTTGCTCCTCATTACTTAGCCCCAACTTGCCTCAGCAAATTATGTAAATCTTAGACAAAAACCAACAAGATTCTGGTCATTGTCTCATTGCACTTATTTTGTATCAATCTATGTCACTGGCCATGGAGCAGAACATTTG